TTTTCTTTACTATGTAAAAATCCAATCTACCATGCAGATCATATGAAAAATGATCTACGTACACCCTACCCTTAAAAATATAATTGATTAATAAAGATAGAGGCATGGCCTCACCTTTGAAGATTAAAAAAAATATATATATATATATATAATTGATAAAATCATTGTTTTTCACTAGTTCTATCCAAATTATCGGTCAAAATTTTTTAAATAGTATATAATACATTCTGATTGGCTAAAAAGCATTTATAAAGACTCAAATTTGGCGCATTTGATGTGAAGTGACTTGGAGCATCGATTTCACGTTACACCTGATCTTACGAACTGATTGGTTGATCAGGTGGGCGCGTTAACACATGCGCTAACGCTAAATTATAAAACCCTTTTAAAATTTACCTCATTTCATTTCATACAAATATAATTGTCCAGGGTCCCGCTTACAATGCTTCATGAGCTACTCTTAGCTTTATCTGGCTTGTCCGGTGATTTATTCGTGCCGTTTCCTCCCCAACCGGAAACAGCCACGACTTTTAAAATTCCACCTGACTTCCCTTTTTTGCATGAAGCCGAAAAGACTTCCTTAGAGCGTCTCGCTGCTTTGGGATTTTATTATCGATGTATTGTTCTCTTCTTAGATCGACAAAGAGGCAGGAAAGATTGTAGTACAGAATTAAAACCTGTCGCGTCTGATGTTACTGAGGAGAATACAATACTACATCATGGATCATATATACATGCATTTTGCAACGCCTTGAACGAAGTTCTTGTAGACTTTCAAAAAACAGTTATAGAATGTGAAATTAGAATTCTAAATAAAGAAGATAATATGGGTGGTATAATTCCAGTGTCACAGATTGTATCTGCCTTTGGTGATTATTATATAATTTTGCCACATCTGTATCAATTGATAATTGAAATAGAAAAAAATCCTTTGAACTATTTTGGCAGCCGAATTCTTAATTTGATCACTGACAGATGTAATACTGGAGTCCCCGAATTACGAACAATCATGTTGAAAATTTTGCAAGCTTGCCACGAAGTCATGTATAAGCATATTACTTCATGGATGGTTTATGGGCACTTGCAAGATCCCTTTTCAGAATTCTTTGTAAAGGATGAAACATCTAAGACTCATATAAAAGAACATTTTAATCAATCGAAATGGCACCGACGTTTTGTTCTCGATGAATCTTTTGTTCCAAATCATATACCACCTGATGTGGCAAAATCAATTCTATTTGTTGGTAAAGCAATTGCAACGGTAAGGAATGCTGCTAGACCACACGAAAAAAATAGTACCCTACCACATTCGCTTAGTTCTCTACACCTTCAGCACCTTTTGCAACTTTCGTCAAGGCCAATTTTTCGTCAAATTGAACTTGAAAATATTGTTACTATTATAAGAGATAATGTAGCACAGTGGTTATGGCAAGTTGTGCTAACGGGTGACAAAGTTGTTGAATGCCTAGAAGCATTTAGGAATTATTTTTTACTTGGGCAAAGTGATTTTTCATTATCACTTGTTGAACAGTTTGAAAAGCTAACAGCATCTAGGTCTATGTCATCAAGAATTTTAACGATCAAAGAGCAAGAATTAAATTCTCTTTTAGTGCGTACATCTGTGGGTACGTCAGCAGAGAATGATCCTTCTTTTGAAAATTTCAGATTCAAACTACCAGTTGTAAGTGAGCAAAAAACTTCGACACCGAACAACATGTTTGATAATGTCATACTTGGTGTCCCCCTTAGGCTTGAATATGATATTGGCTGGCCTCTAGATTTATTCGTCACTGCTGAAGATTTGGATAAATATGGAAACATCTTTTCTTTTCTATTATCTCTTCGCCGTACTCAGTTTCGTCTTCAAAGAGTTTGGACTCACCTTGCCATGGCCAAAAAGTTTGGATCCGTCGATAATAAATTATCTGACGATAAGAACTATCGTATGTTGATGCCATGGAAAGTTCGAGCTGCGATGATGTTCTTTGTGGATTGTTTATGGGGACATATACAGGTTGAATATCTTGTTATTGGAAATGATTAAATAAGTGTGTTTCATTTCTTAGAATATTAATATTTTTACATTTCACCAAATTTTAGATGGATATTATCGAATCGAATTTTCGAACGCTTGTTAATCGAATCAACATATCATCCACGCATTACCGACGACAACGCCCAACAGTGGCTTTAGACCAAAGTGCAGTATCAGAAAAGAGAACTATAAATAATGATGAAAGGATGCATATAAATGAATTAGAAACCCTTCGTGACTTCGAAGATATCCGAATCGGGCACTCAACCTACCTTGGAGACTTATTACGCGGATGTTTTCTTGAATCCCGGGTTTGCTCAGAAACCATCAAAACGTCATTAAGTATATGCGATCAAGTCTGCGGTCTATTGGAAAGATGGAATGTTTATGTAATTGATGATGAAAAATTTTCTCAAATAGCACGATTAGATAATGTATGTACTTTTATTACCTGCACAGCTTACCAAGAAAACATACATTGAAATTTCTTTTTTTTTTTTTTTTTTTGTTTGTTTAAAGGAATTTCGTAATCAAGTTTCATTCTTGTTTCGGACACTTTCTAGCGTTAATAAAACAGGAGAAGGATTTGGTGGACCTCCGAGGCATTTAGACCAATTACTATTGCGAATGGATTATAGCAAGTGGTTTTCAGTATGGTCAGTGTAACCAGCACCAGTAAATAACGACTCAAACCATATTTTTGAAAAAAATCAAATTTGTTAATGTTAATAAATACAACATATGCGCACTTAATATCAAAACTAATAACAATAATTATAGGACAGGGTGAAACCTGGGTTGGTTTTTATTATTGGTGTGGATACGAAAAGAATCATCCAGGGCGACCATAAAAAGTGCAGTAACGTGATTATGGCGCAGCCACAGTATATATATTGCAGTCACGATATACATGATCACGTTACTGCACCTTTTATGGTCGCCCTGAATTACCTTTTTGATGCAGATCTACAATTAATTAGGGTTAGACAGTGATATGCATCAATAACGTAACCACCTCTGACCCTGTCGCATAATTACAGTTGCACCTCGATATAGTCACCGGTTTGGGATATGGGAATTAGGTGACTATAACCAGAGGTGATTATAAAAAATACACTTTATATAGTCACCTTAATAATAAAAAAACCAAAAAAGTGACTATATCAAATATTTTTTGTCA